TAAGAACCCCAACTATAACAGTGTCCTTCGTTCCCTCGTGAGATCTTACGTTTCTGTTCTCAGGATTTTGTAGCAGTCGCCAGGTGATCTCCTCAAAATCAACCTGGTTCTTGACACCCCACAGCCTCCTTAGGCTGCTCCTGTCTCTTGACAAAGGTACATCCTCAAAATACTTGAAGCATGGCCCTAACCAGTTTGGCTCAGTGGATAGAGAGTCGGCCTGCAGACTGCAGGGTCCCAGTTTGATTCTGGTCAAGGGCATGTACCTTGGTTGCAGGCACATCCCCAGTAGGGGGTGTGCAGGAGGCAGCTGACCCATGTTTCTCTCTCACTGATGTTTCTAACTCTCTATCCCTCTCCCTTCCTCTCTGTAAAAAATCAATAAAACATATTTTAAAAAATAAAATGACTGCTTTAAAAAAAATATTTGAAGCATGAAGTTTCAACTCCGGTATGCACTTAAAAGCAGCTCCCTAGGCCAAGAAAGTGACTTGAAAACTTTGGGACCGCCCTTCTCCATGAAGCCATCCTCCACCCAGACATCTAGCTCGCCAGGACTCTTTATGCTCTGTGGGCTGGCACCCAAGCTGCAACTGAGGGCTGAGCTGGACTATCATCCCGTTCACTTCCCGCCCCTGGCTCTGACACTGGAAGTCAGAAGGAGGAGGGATCAGGTAGTTCCTAATTGTGGGTTTTCTTTCCACCCTCCTGGCTACTGCTACCATGTGCAGGTGTGCAATTTGCACTAATTGTAGCATTGGTTGTGTTGACAATAAAACCCACATGGCCTTCTCCACCTCCTGATTTTTATTGTGTCTCACAACTTTGTCTATTATAAGTCAACTGGGCAAGTGCCACCCTTCATTTTCTTTTGGTTCAGTGCCTGCCATGCCTTAATGCCTGATTAATAAAATTGCAGTACTAACCCTCCTCTGGTCCGCAGCACTGGGCAGAGGGGGGATCTGGGCGGATTTCCTTAGAGCCTTGCTCCCTTGCAGAGGTCCTGGGGTCAATGCAGTGCTGGTTGGAGGTGGGGTAGAGAGTCCAGGGTGTCATGAGGGTTGTGTGGAGGAATGCACAGATGGGAGCAAGTTGAGAGAATGGGAAGTTGGGGTAGGGGGTGAGTGTGCCTCTGCTGAAGGGAAGCCTGAGGTGTTTGTGAAGAACTTCATCCTTGGGAGCAGCCTGTTTTATTTGCACCTTAACTCTGCCACTGACCAGCTGTGTGCTAATGACAAATTCCTTAACCCTCCTTAGACTCTATTTTCTCATCTATGAATGGGGATAACAATACCTACCTCTTAGATCATATTATATTGAAGATAAAATATCTAGAGCCTTAAGGCAAATTTACTGCCCACTCTAACCTTCCAGAAATATCTAAGCACAATTCAGCCTAGAGATGTTCATCTGTCAACACTCAGGCACTGAGGGCTTAAGGACAGTTTATACAGGTTTAGGATTCCCTTCCCGTTGACCTTCAGGTTGGGTGTCAAACCTAACATAGGTGGATTGGGACAAGAATGGCCGCAGGATGGCGTTAACCCGAGGAAACCGAGGCAGGTCACAGCCCGAGACCCTCCGTTAGCGAGGTGTGAAGGCCTCAGACCGGAGAGGCTGGTGTGTGTTTTTCCAAAGCGGCGGCGAACGGGGGGATGCGGGCTGTATGGGCACCGGCAACAGCTCGGATCGCGGGAGCACGGAGGTGCCAGGGGAGCCAGGCTCCGGGCGCGCGGTCGTCCCTGCGGCGCGCAAGCCGCCCGGTTGCCCCGGGGCCTGGGTTTTTATTATATATAAAAAAAATCGAGCGCTTCTTGAGAAGTGTGGAGGGGGGGGGGGGGGTGGGAGTAATGATTGGGG